CACAAGCATGTGTTGGCCCCTCACTTGCAGTTTAGTGTCTTAAACTTTTCAAAACTAGACAAAGCCTGTGAGTTCCCGGCTCACAGTGTTAGTGAGTGCTGACCCCTGCAACATAGCACTGGTTTTGTCAGCCTTCATGGGTGTTTTTTTAATTGAAGGGGGAAAAAGAATTCATAAAGGAAAATTACTCAACTTTAGGCAAACTTACAATTCCAAAATAAAAGCCTAAAACCCACCAGCACATTCCAAAAATGTTTAAGAGAAACTATCTGCTGTAATGTTACATCCTCTCCGGTTTGGAGTCTGCCCTGACTGTGAGGGAACGCAAAACTAAACAGCAGGAACCACAAACAGACTTTGGGAAAACAGCGCCTCCCCCAAAGAAGTAAGACTCCCCTCAGCCCCAAATGAGGAGGACTGCTGGAACAAGTTCGTGAGCTACACCTTAACAATGAAAAAACGAAAAAAACCACCAAAAAACCCAAACTCTCATATTCTGGCTGCATCCTCACTACCTTCTGTCAGGAATTCATATTGCTTTCCTGGAGCATGACTGATTGAATATGCCTCCATATTTGAAGTAATAATCCTAGTAAGACCCACTTATAATCTTATTTTGAATAAGAAACAAATTTACCTGCAATGGTACCACTGAAGTAAAACAACTTAGTTCTATGCAGTTTTCTGTAATAAGCATAAAATTTCTCTTTTTGCCCTTCTGCTGTTGAAACGGCACTTTTGGTTCTTTTAACTGTGGAAACAATAATTGTAACTCAGAGGAAAACTGGCCACACTTTATCTCTGAGCTGATCTGAGTTACCTGGTTGCCCAAGGGCACAGAAAGAAGAAATTAGAAAACCTTTAAATGTGCAAGTCTGGAACAGTAAATTTTAAAATGCACTTGTTGAAAAAACTGCTCCCTCTCCCATCAGACCTGAAACCAAAGCGATCCAGGTACCTTCACTTTGTTTCCCTGATGTGTCGGTCAGTCGCTGTTGCCCTGCAGGGAACTGCAGAGTAAGTTCAGGAGAGGAGCTCTTTGGCTTTGCGGTCGTGCACCAAGTCAGAGCAAGCAGCAGCGGTCTGCCGCAGGAGGAAACCAGTGCAGGGGGGAGCAGGAGCTTGCCTCTTTCATAGAAGATAACAGGATTATTTTATTGTGAGACTTGTGCCTAACCTCCTCCCCAGCCACAGGGTTTTGAAAGACTCAACAGAACCCCCAGCATATCCCCTCAAACACGTTACCTATGGTTTGTTTAGAACCTGTGGGTTTTTTTGCTTTTTCAAATCATTTCTCCTCTAAGATTAGTGCTGATACAGGAGCCTATTTTTCCCTTCCAAAGCAACTCCCCGTGACCCGAATTACAGCGAAAGTGTCCAAGAAGGCTGGCTCCCTGCTTTCTACACCTGTGCTGCAGGCACGGGGAAACCCAGCTGAATGGGAGGGACCCTGGTGCTCACAGCGGTGGATGCTACTGCTGCATGGCAGGGAGGAGATGAAGACCAAATTTGGTACAGATTAACAAATGCTCTCAGCTGCCCCTGCAGCAGCGGGGCTGTCCCCAGCACCCACCTGAACGAGTGCCAAAGGCCGTACGCTTCATGGTGTAACAGCCACGGCTGTACTCAGTACTTGAGGGTCAAGGCACCTGCTACATTTGCGTGCAGGGTATGAAAGCTCAGCTCTCACACACAGTGCCAAAAGGATGACAGCCCGTGTTTGTAGCAGGAAGCTTCTTTCTGTGTGTCTGAAACCTGGCCCCTTTGTTTTCTGACTTAAATAATGGTGCAATTAGGAGACCAGTGCACACAGGGAAAAATTACTTGCTTGCAAATAAGGCATAAATATTGACCATCACAAAACCAGTAAATACACTGGAAAAGCAAGTTACAACGAGGGGTCTCATAAGCTGAAAAGGCAACCAGTTGTCTGAACCACACTGTAGCCAAATTTCAGTGCTCAGCTGAGAGAAAGCAAGCTGCAGCCACTCACTGTACTTCTGTACCACTACTGGCTTTGGAAGTACGTTGTAACAAGAAGGAATGCAGGGTGCCACCTTTGCTGACACTCATTCTTTTTGCTGCAAACCTAAGAGTTAAACTTGTGTCTCCCAGCAAGCTGTCTTAGCAGCCTGCAGTAGTAAGCACGGATTCATTGTCGAGGGAGAGATACTGGGAAAATGAACTTGGGCACAGGAAAATGAGAACAAAGCTCAAATGCCTCTGAAGGAACTGCACTCAGCACATAGCTCTGCCGAGTCCGGCGCCCAGAGGTACCCGCACTGAATGAACAAAAGAAAAAGGGCTGGAACTGACACACACCAGTGGAGCTGTCCTGGGGGAAAAGAAGAACAGATGGGGCAAGCAGAATTTCCTGACTGCTCTCGTCTGGGGGCACACGCTGCATCAGCCCAGACACTTCTTGCCAGGGCATAGGAGAACGTGTCCCCTTCCCCATCGTCCCAAACAGCCGGGGAGTTACAACTGTACCTGCGCACCTTTTGCTCCACTGGTGGGTATGAGCCCCAGGAGCTGCATACAGTACAAAGCAGCAGGAGGACCAATGTTGAAAATTACAGCACCCATGAACTGCAGTGTAGCTTAACAACCTTCCTGGGAAGTTACGCGCCAGCTACACTGAGCATGCTTAAAATCAACAATGCAAATGCTTTTAAGGACACTTTATAAGCACAAAAATAGTAGAAACAAAACTTTGTGAACAATTTGAAAGATACAAAAAAGTGCCTTTCCATAGCAGTGCTTCAAAAATGCACACAATGGTATATACTCTTATTGCTCAAAAAAACTAGTCTGAAATATTAAAACAATTTCCAGAGGTGCTGAAACAGATTTTAAAAAAATCTTATGAAACAGGTCAGCAGAGACAGCACCATTATTTTTTCTCTTTTCATGATGCACTTATTTAAAACTATAGTTATAGATGTGTCATTTTTCCCCTCTAATTAGCAAAGCTTTTTTCCTATTCATAAATTATTCACAAAGACATTTATTATTTGGATTTTTTTAAAAACACTTTATAAAAAAAAGAAGGAATGGGGGACACTATCACAAGTTTCTTAAATCTATCAGCCTGAATTACTCTAATGAGAGAGCAGTTCACATCCTTTTTAACATGCTTGAGGATACTGTCAGGTCAGGCTACTTCCTTTGTCCCATTCTTTGGAGGAAGGAAAGCATTTTGAATTTGTTTTAGGAAAAAAGGTAAACTAACAGTAAAATCATTTGCCATCTGAGCCGTGACAGTATCCCCATGGTGACGAAGGCAGCTGTAACAACCGAAGATGGGGCAGGTACAGTCCAAGTATTTGAGCTGCTTTACAAAAGTTGTGTACCGCTACCCTGTCGGGAACATGCATGATACATAAGACCACTTACGCTAACTACACTACCTTATCACAATGTCCGAATACGTGGGTAAGACTGTACAATCAAGCTACTGAAGTACAAGAAAAAGGACTCTAGTACTTGATCCGGTGATTGACTGTGAATCGGTGGCAAACAAAAAAACCCAAAGCAAATACGATAGTCTATTTCCTACTCAAATGGGCCCTTAGATTAAATTAACAGCAAATGTTATTGCCTCTCAAGGTTGGGGTTTTTTCCAGTCTTCTCCCTTGACTGCTAGAAGTGCAACTTTGCAACTGGCAGGTCTATGCATTGGTCGCAGTCTCTGGTGGGTCAAAGAAAAGAGAGAGAATTCCCACTGTGCTTGGCCTGAAATTACCACTCCCTTCTCTCTTTCTAGAAGGGAAAGTTTCCTGACCATTTCTACTGAATTACAAGCAATGCTTTCTTTCAATGTTTCCAGACACTTGTTTTTGTAAAGAGAATACATCTTACCAGGCACAGGCAAGGCGAGACTGTATGCTGTGTATGTTTGTGCGAGAACATAATGGTCTCTTACAGAAACCTACCTTCATTCAGGGAAAGAATTACACGTACAAGTGGTGCATCGGCGTGGGTCAGCCTTGTGGGTCGGCATCGATTGCAGGAGTCCTGGCAGCTTACAGAAGGGGTTAACACAAATATATTCATCTTGAGCCATAGAAACAAATGATCGAGCCTACGATAATGTTACTATGCATAATGGATTGGAACAATATATATTTATCCTACTTACTGCATGGACAAATAACTTTGAAATAATTTGTAGCAGTGTGTATTTTTAAACTATTTGGAAGGGAGGGGGAGGCTCTTTATAGTATAAATATATTTCACTCCAGCCCACTATATATAAAATCTATTTTCTTCCTCAGAACATACTCTTTTTCAGTAGTATTATGACCAGAATGTTTTGGTATGTTGCATCTGTACTTTTCAATCAATGGACAATGTACTGGCAGAACACCTCAGCTCTGCACCATTTACCCACCACAAACTGCCAAGGGTTTTGTGGGTGGGGTTTTTTGTTTTTTTTTTTTCCTTCCTTTCTTTAAAGTGCCCCCTACATCTTCGTCTTTGTGGTAAGATTTGACTAGTTACAGAGTCCGATTCCAGATAACATAGTGACTGAAACAATAAATACGGTTCTACAAAAACATTCTGGTTATCTTCTATAATTGCGACGAAATATATCACAATATATTATATACCTACACTTATAATACATGCACAAACATGTCTCACATGGACAGACATTACAAAAAATTATCTCCCCCCCTCCCCTAAATGCAGAAAAAGTAAGAAAATGGGGGTTTGGTCCAATCCAGATGAAGGGTAAAAGAAATTGAAAGGATAAGTCAATGCCTCTCTACCCACCTCTCCCAATAAAATATCAACACCCCCAAGCCCCCAACATTTTTGGCCTAGCCACGAAAGGGGAATGTCTTTACATTTAGCCTTAGCTACAGTTTGAGATCACCTCTTTTGATGGGGCCATCAGCCACGTCCCCACATTCTCTCCAAGTGCACAAGATCACAGGTTGGCCGATCACAGAGTGGCCCACAAATCACGGAGAGCACCGGCCCCTGGGGACTGACTACCAGTCCCGAGACAGCTTGGTGTTCTGATCCCTTTTGGGAGGAGCAGGGGGTGGCCCCCTCCGTAACGTTGCATAGCCGGATATATGACTACCCCCAAAGCTGCTCGTCTTCTGCTGGTCAGCCAGCAGCTCTGGTGGAGGCGGAGGCAGGACCATGTCATCCATGGTGGCTGTGGGCTCTGTTCTGGACATCCGCGCGGAGGAGAGGGAGCCATGCCGGGTGATGGATTTCCGCTGCAGCGTCCGGTTGAGGTCTGCCAGGAATCCCGGCTGAACGCTAAGGCTGGATTTGGGTGAAGTGGGCACTTGAGGGCCAGCTGACCCCGGTGTCTCTGTGACCTCCACCTGCGTCAGTCGAGTGCTGTCGTTCCGCTTGGGACGTGTGGGTGGTGGGGCTTTTTTCACAGATGGTTTTGACCACGCCTGAGGCTGGGGATTGACAACAGCAACTTTGGGGGAAGTGCTGCCTGAAAACATGGATGGGATCTCAACTGGCGGGAGAGGAAGATCTATTTCAGGTGGTGGTGGTGGAAAGTCTGAATCGGATGGTGGTGAAGGGAATTCAACCACAGGTTCCTTCCCAGACACACCCGGAGCAGCAGCCTTGACCGGGATCCCTCCTTGCGGAAGGACAATGGGCAGGCTCACCCCAGAAAGGTTCAGCTTTCCTGGCTTTGGAGGGGCTGCAGGAGGCGATGACTCCTTGGAAGGAGACCCCGACGGCTCTGGTGGGTGTGCAAATTTGCTGACAAGGCGGTCCACTGAAGGTCTCTTGGACTCATGGTACTCAGTGGAGCTGGTGGACTTGATGCTGGAGTTTCGCTGAGGCGTTGGAGGTGGTTTCTTCCCTCCAGGGCTTGATATCTTGCTGGTCTTTTTGACTGGAGACCCTGATTTGTCAGGGGGGGGAGAACCTGCAGAGGAAGCTGGGGAAGGAGGTGGAGGAGGAAACACTAAGCTGCTCTCTGGTGGAGGAGGGGGGAAATCTGGTGAGGGAGCAGAAGCGGGCTGCCATTTGGGCTTTGCCTTCACTGCTGGAGGTGACTGTGGAGCCACGCTCAGTGGAAGGGGTTTCAGTGGCTGGGGCTCGGTGGCAGGTGGGGTGGGAGGAGGCGGGAACTGGCTAACTATCTGCTTCACCACTGACGGCACTGGGGACTGAGGGGATGGAGGAGGCTTCACAGCAAGGGGCTGGGGAGCTGGCACGGGGGGAGTGACATGTGCGACCCCTGAGGATGCTGCCTTCCCACCAGGCTGTGGGGGGAGAGCTGCCATGACAGGCTTTGGGGGTGCCTGAGGTGGTGGTGGGGCAGGCACAGGAGGAGGAGGTGGTGGCAACGAGGAGGTGGCAGTGGCCTGGCTTGTATTTGGTTGAACCTGATGGATTTTGGGGGGTGGTGGTGGCGGTGTGAATTGTGGCACAGAGGGGGCACAAGGT